CGTAATTAATGTTTTGTTGTAAAAATTAAAAGAATATAGCATTTGTTATTACCTTGTTAGATATATGTTATTCCAGTCAGTATTCAACTGCATTTGAAAAAATCACTTGATTTAAATTTAAATCAGATGATTGAAATAGGGGCCAACATTTAAAATATATATATTCTTAATGAAAAAGGTCCATCATATCATTATCGCAAAAATTTCAGCCCTTAACTGGCATGGTTGTATTTTTGAGGTTTCCGGGCTTTTAACAAAATATTTTTATAATTCCGGATGTTTTAAAGTAGGTAGCAGATCTTTGACCCGGGAACTTTCCTCAAATATAAGTAAAACTAGAAGAGCTGTTGCCCGCAGCTCGGCTTATGCGGATTTGTCAATTTTTCACTCCGTTCATCCCCTCTCCTTAGTGAATCCCTTTGACTTAAAAACTCACCACTCCCCCGCAAACTTGTATCCCCTATTTTACCCTCTTACGTTACCCACAAGAATTCAAATTTTAAAAGTAGTAAGAAAAAAACAAAAGTTATGTGACCCAAGTTTGAACTTTTAATTATTTTTATTCAGTTTTTAAAAGCTTTATATTTTATTTAGTTGTGGTAATTTTCATTTTCTGCGTATTTTCAAACATTCACAAATCACAAAGACGCGTGCTTCTGTGGGCAAATGTAAACTGCAGTCTGATGCTTTTAATTTTGGGAAAGTGTCGTAAAACCATGGTCAGTTTCTTTTCTCAAAAGCTTGCAACGGTCTGCACCCATTGTTGCGAAATACGCACATCCTTTGTAGTAACAGCTTAGAGCCGCAGTGAATTGGAAGACATAAAGGTAAACATCCCACAGATGCCTTTTTTGCTATTACTTTACGACACTGCCAAAGTTAAAAGAATCGGACCGTAAGTACTTGTAAATTGTAACGGATCTTGGGCCTTTGCGGTGTCCCAGAAAGGTCTACGTAAATTGCGGCGGTACGCAGGTAGTACCCTTATTGAATTAAATTGCATTTAAAAGATTGTAACATGCATTAGGTACATGTTCGTAATTCAGAAAGAAAATTTAAAGAAAATCAAGAATGTTTTAAATCAATGATTTAAAAAAAATATCACGAATTAAATCAGGCCAACCCTGGGACAAACAGTTTTATATGTTAAGATTAAAATCTTAGCATGTCAATATTTGGCTCAATAGTTTTCATTTTCTGTTGTATTAAATTTGTAAACTATCTCTTTATTACAGCAATTTTTTTTTTAAATAATGAATTTTTCATGAGCTGAAGCTGGTACCGATTGCTACCTCAATAAGTGATGCATCACCATTTAAAAATCAATAACACGTAGAAAACGCATCTAATTATGATTTATTCAAATATTTATATAAAAAATTAAATTATCGATAACGTTAAAAATTTTTTTGATAAATTTAAAAAATATGAATAAAAATCCTGTTTTATTTGACAATCTAACCAACCAGTAGTTCGATAAATCAAGCTCCAACCCATGCACTTCCATTACAAAAAACGCGATATCCCATAATTCATCAAAGACGTATATCTACAGTCTTCGAATTATAATTAAATAAAATCAACCAAAAGTAGATATAGGTAAATAAAAGGGGAGACCAACGTTATTTTGCCTGTTAACAATCAGTAATGTAATAATGTGAATGATTATGGGGAGAGTTATGTTCATAATAATAATACTGTTATTTACTTTTTGAAAATCGTTACAACAATCGCAAAAGATTTAAACATTTTTTAAAAACTGTGTGTTCTTAGAGTCCCTATAGGGCTACAGTCGCGGCGAGAAAATCTTGAACGTCAATGTCATTCCATCACTGTCATAAAGAGTGTAAAACACCCTTTGAGTATTCTAACTTTATTTTTTTGTTTGGTCATGTTTAACATTGTGGACATTTTGACCACTAGACGCAACATGATAATTCATTTCAACTTCAAACGTCAAAGTGACAACAAGGGATAGACTACAACGACATTTTAAGAATGACAGAAAAATGACGTCCAAGATTTTCTGGGACAAAAATGAGTCAATAATTTAATAATACTTAATTGGAATTATGAATTATGATATTATCTAGTAAATTGTAGAAAGCCATTTCTCCGTAAATGAGGTTCATTAAAAGTTGTACATTTCCCTAATATATCGCGACTTCACAATTATTACCTTTTTTGGAAATGGATTTAGTAAAAAACATGGCTACGAATAGACACGGTTTTACGAGAAATGAAGATAATTCCTATTCTTTAAATGGAACAGATAGGTACATCCTTTAATTCTTTTGAACACATTACTTCTTTCTTCATGTCCCAAAATGAAATTTACAGGATGGTATATATTTTCCAAAAAAATTCAAATTTAGAACTGTTGAAATGATAATTTTTCCGTAAAACAATAACTAAATTATTTGGTAACAGTTTTCCACATCATTGACAAAGAAAAAAATTGGTCCAAGGTTATTCCGACAGAGGTAGAGTCCAACAAATCGCACTTTTTTGAAAAATAGTTAAATTTGATTTTTTACGAGATTTAACAGCCTTATACACAGAAAATACAGATAATAGCTCTAATAGTAAAGAAAAAAGAAAATAGTCGTGAGACCGTTTTCGTATTGCAATTACCTTGAATTATTTGGGAAAATTTTGTTGCTTTGGGTAAAAAATCAGGGTTGATTCACCACAAGTGTAGGAGTATGTTATATCATAAAATTTAAATGGCGTTTACAAAGCAATTTGAAGGGACGTCATTAAATTGTTCGTGGCCATGATTATTCAAATTTTGGTTCGATATTCTTAAAGTACTGTGCAAAATTCGCAGTTTTACCGTTACTTTTATGATATCCTAAAATCTACCTGTACATTTTACTTCACTTCTATAATACTTAAAGAATAATTTTTACAACACGAAGTGTAACATACACTAAACTTTCAAAACAGTAACATAAAATGGTCAAAGAATATTGAGAGCAAAAAATAAAAAAACAGTGAAAATACACACAAATATGTATCTAACAAAACTAGCTATTTCATAATACGTATTAGACTTACATAATGTATATAAAATACATTGGTTTACTGCAACTTATAACGAAAAAAATCTTAGGATAAATATTCATATATAGGTATATCATACACATATATCTGATAAAACAAAAAATAGACAAAAAAGAAACTCTGAATAAAACTACAACTAAATGCTACACGAGTAAGCAAATAGTTCAGATGGGAATCAGATTATACCTATATACAGGATGCTTTGTATTTGCTTTAAGTTCATTTCCATAGATGACGCTCTATATGTGGTTAAGGTTAATGCAGTTGTCGTTCTTGTTTAAAAACTATATTTAGAAAAAATAAACAATTTACATGACAATTGAATTTAGTTTTGACAGTTCTACATCAAAATTCCACAAAATACTAAGGCAACGCGTTAAAAAAAAATATTTACAGCTTATTTTACATAGAACTTTCTATATGATGCATAACATTATGTAGAAATAATATACCGATTTTAAATTGTCCGGCAAGTATATAATTATCTTTCAATTTTTGTAATTAATTTTTTCCTGCTCATACACCCGTTAGTCAGTGTCACCAAAAATTAATGGTATACAACAACTAAAGCATGTAGCCTATTTTTTTGGAAGTAATTTTCTAAAAGCATTTCATGAATTAATTTGAGTGACGAATTTTACAGAAAAAATTAGACCTCGTTTATGTTCAACTTGGCAATTCAAAGAGAAAATTTTTATTTGGTTTTTAATTGATAATTGGCATACATACGTAATCATGGTTCTGCTATAAATAGGTAACTGTGGACAACCTTACATCTGGAAATAGTCTAAATTCGTTTAGAAAAATTAAAAAACGCATTTAATCAAAATCAAGAAACAAAATATATACTTACTTCAAATGATCATCATATGTTCAACATACTCATATAAAAGCTTTTTACTTTCAGATGAAAATTTGATCGCTGAAAATCTACTACTCTTTAACAGTAAGCTGTTTTGTTTCACTGAAAATAAAATGCTACATAAAATATTGCAAAACTAAAATTTAATTAAAATCCCATATTCCAAAATTTTCTAGTTATTGGGGAAGTTCAAAAAAATAAATTATTTGTCTCAGTTAAATTTTTAGGTATCCGATCATCAACAAAAAAATGACTTAAGGAGTTTATCCCACTATTTTTTTTCTCATTCTTAACGTCAAAATTTCACGTCTATAAAAGCAGATGTGCATATGCTAGAAATGTTATTTTCTCTTTAAGCTTGTTTAAATATGCATCAGATCTAAAGATAGGAAACCATTAAACATACATCTTTAGATATGTGTGAATTAAAGTTGCATTTATTATGTTTACAATACATTAATTTTCTTATCTTGTTTGTTTAATATTACATCAGGAAAAAGTCTCCGTGGTAATTTCAAGTTAGACTAGGATTAAATGACTTGTAAACTTTTAATTTTTAATGGTATGGTAGTGTTAATTTATCTCCATTAAATATTTCACTATGAAAAGGTAAATTAGCCTTTGTATAGTGCAGTTCACAAGCTAAATAAGTTTCTGTCTTTTCTTTTAAAGTGTTTTTTAATATGAAAGAATCAACGCCTCTCATGTTAGAAATGTGGTGATATTTGACATGTATAAAACGAGTTCACTTTTCTGTTCCAAAAAGGTATTTTTAATTTTTCACTCGACTGTATTTTCAGATTTTTTTAAATATGTTCCTAGCCGCGGATTTTTATTATTTGATGGATATTTAGCAACTGTAAATACAGATAAATTAACTGAACATTATTTTTTTTACGATGTTCGTTCAACAATGTTTTTAAGTCGATGGTAAGTTTGAAGTATCCTTAATTTTTCACCGGAAAATATCAGTTGCTGAGAGCATAATGAATAATGTGTAGCTAATTACATTATCCACCTAACCTAGGAACTGTTACTAATGAATATTAAAGAGACGATTATTTGCTTTCAGGTGCCGAATGGAAACTCCTGACGGAGGACGAAAAGAGGCCTTTCATTGACGAAGCAAAACGGTTACGTGCAATGCATATGAAAGAACACCCCGACTACAAATATAGGCCGAGGCGCAAGCCAAAAACCTTGCGTAAAGAAGGCTATCCATATTCCATCCCCTACCCTTCAGTGCCAATGGACGCGCTAAGAGCTGGTTAGTGTTTTCATTCAAATTAAAATCGAATAATACAATAACAAAATTTCGGCAAAAATCGACAATGCAGTGGATTGAATATCCGTTTTTCAATGTGAATGCAAAACAAAGCCTAATTCAAACCTAATTTTATTTTCTGTTTAAAAAGCTGGGGTTGTATTTTACGGAACGAAATTTAAAAATTGGATTTTCCGTCACGAATTGAATATAAATCAGAGCGCCCTTGCAACAATACGTTTTTGTAAAATAACAAAATCCGAAATGAAATTAAATTCGATCCCAGTGCCATGGTGGAGTTAAATATTTACACAATTTCTGTTCACTCCACTTTCCCATTAAACACAATGCGCATGAATAAATCCGGTCGCTACCTGGATATTATAAGAAAACAGACAAAATCAAATTTCAATACTATTGATTGAAAAGCACAATGCCAGGATTGTATTCCTCGCTTTGTGCTGCCATTCTCATTCAAAATGAAGATTAAGGAACTGTTCTGTTGGATTTTAACGTTACAAATACCACCTGGTCGATATGTTATAATTAATACAATTGTGTCCCTGATAGTTTTAATCAAAGGTAACGGAACGTTACTGTTAGCCGAAGACTGTAATTGCTTTATTGGAACGTACAGGCTGATGACGATACTATTTTACGATTTTATCTACGCTACTTCAGTGAAAGGATATTTTATCTAGTAAAAGAGGATCGTGATTAAAGCAAATGAAAATACACATCAGTATCTAAAAAAAGAGAAATTCCTGAATCAAAATTTTTAATTAATTTTTTTTTTGTAAATTTTAAATTTATCATAATTTCGTTCGACAATACACGATATACCAACATACAAAAAATACATAAACAACTTGATAATTCCCTGGATTTTTAGATTTAGTTTTAATATATGAATTTTCATAAGCTGTGAAATGACATATGAAAAACAACTTCTCTATACAAATATGAAAAAAATGATACCAAATATAGAAAAAAATAGGGTTAACAATAACTTCTACTTTGAATTCTAGTATCTATACTATGATGTTATTTATACTTACATAGAGCTTAAAGAAAAAACGTTATCTATTAAAATAACTTACCTATATAACTTATTATCAATTATTATTGTTTGATTTACTCCTTCTAAACTTCTCAAAAATAACATAACAGAATTCAGTTTTTGAAGGGTAGCACTAATTTGATGAAAATATTTAAAAAATCATAGGAGTAATTCGTTTTAATTTAATTCATATTTCTTACGGCTTAGAATGCAAATAATGGGAAAAAACATTCACCAACTTATATAAATCTATGTACACGGTTATCAACGAGAAGCTCCACATTTCAAAAATTCAAGACGCAACCAGAAATACAATTTTAAATGTATCATTGATATTTCGTATCATTTTTGAAAAAAAGTAAAACCGTTACCTGTTGTAACAACACTGAAATAATGTCAGATACTACTTACCATGTTAAAATTGAGATTTCGGCCGAATTGATGTAAAATATATTCAAACGACGAAAAAACTGATATGATTTTAATGTATGGTGAGTGCAGAAATAATATGACAACTGCGTCATGTTTGCATAGAGCACATTATATGGAGAAGACATCCTGACGAGTTCTTGTTTTGCGTTTGTATGCTTTTGCTTTTACCCAAAAATTAATTATTTCCAAATTATCAAAACCAAATAGCTAACTACGTACTTTATTTAGAAAAAATGAGGCTGGTAAATATCAAAGGTAGCTATACAACTGTATTGTTGGTTGCGTTGCATTCTTTAGACGAAGAACTTGTCGTTAATACAAGCTGTGCGATAATTCACTAAGCACGTTGTTAAGAAAATTATATCAACTATATGTTTATAACATGTTGGTTTTTGTATTCAAATGTAACATAACATATTTTACATGTTAAAAAAATGAGAATATTAAAACTGCTAAAGATAAAAGTTTTTAAATAAATGTAACAAAACCTACAGCAACTTTCAAAGTCAACATCAATAAAAACTTATATCATATTATCAAAAAATGTCCACAACATATACAGGATGTCCCAGTTAAAACTCCGTGGCCTTATATCTTAAAAAAACGCAATTATTTTTAGCTCGAAGAGGGAAGCTTAAATTAGTATACCAGAAATATGACGCACATACCTATGTTTTTTAAATTAAAAAGTTTTTTTTACGAATTTTGGTAGATTGTGATTATAATGATATACCACACTTAAATACAACTGAAATAAATATTTCAGTTTCAATTGATAAAAAAAAAAATTAAACATAAATATACTAAATAAAACTTTCCCCTTCAATCTAAAAATAATGGCGTTTTCAGAATTTCAATACCTTTATCCATTCTCATGTTATAAGGCCGCGGAGTTTTAACTGAAACACCTGCATATTATACAGGATGTCCGTAAAGTAACAAAGCTGCTTTTAAAGTAGGATGATTGGTCAGAATTGATCTGGTAACAACTACCCACTTTTATTAAAACTGGCTGAATTGTCCCACATATGTAGATATAGATAGGTATGTACCTATTATTTTTCGAAAATTAAAAGTAAATTAAAAATAAATACAAAATCACAGTTCTTTGTTAAAGATTTTTTTTTAATGTTAAAACATTGCTTTGGATTTTTTATTTCCTTTCTCCCTTATGTTTGTCATGCTTTTCTTTTTAGGTTCATATTTCTGGAATATTCTTTTCAGGTATCTGTACAACTTACGTGGGTTTTTGGAAAATACAATTTCGTAAAAAAATCTGATTTTTATAATTGTGCTATTTATTGTGCCAAAACTTAAATTCAAAGTTTCACATTTGTATACTATTTCTCAAAAGTTATGCTTCTCCTCCGTTTTGGTAGAATTTAACTACACTGAAAAGATAATGGTTCTGAGGAACACAAGATACAAAATATTTTAATTTCTTAAATTGCAATGACATTTAAAAAATATATATTTTCCTCTCTAGCTCCAACCGTTACTTCCATGTAATTTGGGTCATAATAGTCGTTTTTTTTTATTTCTATGAAATACATAGATCTGCACTATATTAGTGAAGTGTCATCCATTTAGGCATATTAAAATAATTTTTATAAATTTGTTTTTTTGATTTAAAATTGATTTTTTTAGGCATGGAGCTTCTTGTGAACAATTCTGTATATAACCTTATTCGGAAGTATATATAAAGCATCTGAGATATTTATTTATACCTTACGATGTGGTAGTTCAAACTTGGCACAGGCTCATTGTAAAAAAATAACCTTGTATTTATTGAAAAAAAGTTTAAATTATTTAGTTTATTTTTATTAACCGGAAACCCCATTACAAAATAAAAAAAATGTTATGTAAATGGTGACATTATAGGTGGTTTGCCTCTGAACAAGTTTCATTTGTTTGTTTTTTAAACAACATCACTATTTTAAAAATAAAAAGCACGACCTACTAGAGAAGTTTTTTTTCGATCATACGTTATTGTATTAATGTTGTTTACAATCCCAGTGTTTTAAAAATAACTAAAAGCTTAGGACGCTTCTTAAAATAGCAACAATTATATGTTAGGAATTACGAGTATAAATTTCTAAAAAATTAAAGAGATTAGCATCGAACGTGATGTACAAAGTTACATTTATATAAAATAACTTACCAGTTATATTTAACCATAAAACTCGGTAATTTTTTAATAAAACATTTGTACGAATTTTTTGTTTCTAAATTAAAATTAAAAAAAACTCGCGTGGTAACACTCTGACAGCTTAATTATAACAGTTCGTGAAGATTGATACCTAACCGTCATCATCACATTCCTACGCTTTTCCAAAAATATGAATCAAGTTCTTATTTGGTGAAATCACGTCTTGATGCGCATACATCACGGAAAGAATCGCATAAACAATGACCCGAAGACAACAAAAACGAACTGCAACAATAAACAGGACACGTCAAATTCAAGAAAGGAACTGTTTTCGCCTGTGCTTCTGTAGGGACGCAACAATACAGCCATTGTGTCAAACTTGCGATAAATACTACACTGGAAGATTCTCAAAAATTAGGGGATCTATGTGTCAAAACTTGAAATGGGTCAAACCCCAAAGGAACCGGTATTAGCCCACGGTGCTGCGAGAGGCTTAAGATCCAATTAGAATGAAAGAAAAATTTTGTGACTGGTATGTAATACCATTAAACATTTTTGACTGATCGGATGAAATAGTACACAAAACGAACAGCTGTAGAGGACTGTTAACAGTTCTGGAAGCCTTTGCTACTACATAAAATATGAAACTAATCTAGTCAAGGCATAAAAAACACGAACAAAGTATAAATCTGTTTATAGAAAAAAAAAGAACCTAAGCAAATGTTCCAAATTCAAATTTATGAATTAGATTTTCACTTATTAAACTGTTGCGTTATCTCCACCAATAGCATCCTGTTCACTCCTCAAATCTGAATTTAAAAAACATAAATCGGAAGGACACTTTGAAATACGTCGTGAATGTCCTGCTGGCTCCTGCTGTGCCCGAATGTCTCAACTTTGCCGCTCCCGACCAATATGGGTCTGCTTGGTTCGGAATTTTAAGTATGTATGTAAAAAGCGGGGGTCCGTGTGATGTCTTGGCAGGACCCGATATTCTGACCGCGGGATCTCACACCTTTTTGGTCCAGGTGTTATAACACACACTCGACTGGACATCCCCACGTATGTGAATGTGTTGAGGAGAGGTCTTATTTTCACCATGAATCATCCGTTCAGATCTGTTTCTTTTTGTATCGATTTAACATCGTTACCGATCGTGTTACGGATGATTTAAAGACGGCGATTTGTAAGGATTTAAATTTTAATGTTTTCCGACGTGTTTGCCTGATTATGTAGTGGACAGAATAGCATGTGTGGACGTTATTTTAAGTGAAGAGTATTACTGCTCTTATAAATCGAGTCGTTATGTCAGGATAAGCGTCCGGGCAAGATTAATGAAAAGGAGGGTGAGTTGTTTTTCTAAATATTTTCTAAATTGTGAAAATTTTTCTTATTTGAAAAACATGTTTGCGACTTTCGATTCTGAGTTATTCTGTCTGTAATATAACATAATCGAAGGAATAACATTAAACCTGATTAGAGTTTGCGGTTTAAGTAAGTATGTCGACGAATGTTTTAAAAAATGATGAATCAAAATTTGGATTCAACTGATAAATTAATAAATACAGAAAATATGACTGTCTTATTTTTGTGTGTTAAATTAATATTAGTGAAGCTTTCGACTGCGTAGATCATAAGACACTGCTTGAGAAATTATTACACTACCTATAAGTCATGCCAACATTAAACCCATAAAGTCATATCTAACGGATCGATGTCAGTACGTAAATGCAAATAATAAAAACTTGTCGAAACTACCGCTTCATTTAAGAATTCCCCAATGACCCACGTTATGACCTATCTTGTTTCTAATATATATCATTGAGTCAATGACATGAAATTCTTTAAAAAATGGTAGATTTGCGGATAGTATATCATTACACTAAAACACAACTCTATAATTATCATCTTGGTGCAATTACAAGAGATGCTCAAGTTTCTATTAACAACTGGTTCAATTCAAGTTATCTGTCTTTGTGTACAATTAAACTGCAACACATAAATCGCTCATTAGGAAAAGCATCTTCGACATTATTTGTATTTTGCAAACTTCGAGACAATATTTGAAACAAGATCATGGTTACAGCACACTATGCATCAATGCAGACTGTGTTTATCTTATACAATATTGTTGTGGGATCATTCGAAAGAAAATGTATAAGAATTATTGCTAGTCTCAATTACTGCGATTATTGTGGTGAATATTTTGTATCACTACAAATTCTAAGTTTTTCCAGCACTTATATTTGGCAAAGTTTTCTTTACATACATCAGTATATTTGGGCAGAGTCATTCATGCGTACATTACTAGGCATATGATAAATTTATAACCGAAGTCTCAAAGATTAAGTAATCTCGGAATAGTACAAATTTTATAACTAAAAATTAACATATGGAAAAAGAAACAGAAAAATTTTGTCTCTTGTGAGAACTAGTTAATTTTATTTAAATTAAAATTATTTATTTCTTTATTTATTACTTTTTACAAAGCGGTACATATTTTGGACACGTGTGGATGTTAGTGTCTACACTGCGTTAGGTTCATTCAGAATAATCGTGTCATGAATTTATTTTAAATCTACCAGTGGCCATTGTCAAGTGAACTATTAATAGGCACAGAAACCGAAAGATATTTTTTCTATAAACTATACCACATCTGAAACGTCCTACTGTTACGATTTATTGGCGAATAAAATCGGCGTGGGTAAACTCAACAATTTATTTCTTAGTAACTCGGATTTACACGACTAATTACTGAGCGATTATGTACAAAATAATTCCGGCGCTGGGTGTTCTCGACACTCGTTGGACTCGACTTGTTAACTGAATTTAGCTCCCGTTGTTTGGACTACACTCGAGTGACTCGTTCCCGAAGGTAGCTTCTACATATTGAAACCTATACGTTTCTCTTAATGGATCCAGAACGCCGCTTCGAGGGTTTTCTGGGCCCGTCGCGACATCCGCTTCCAGGGCTTTCCTTCAGCGAACATACTAGAAGAAACACATACATACTGGAAGACCTATAAGCGTCGTACCGGGGCGGCGTATGGGTTTATTTCGTAACAATAATGTTTCCTTGAAACTAAATCATTTTCTCTGGAGACTTAATATTGTAGCTCCATGAACGTTTACTACGATTCTACATTTTAAATGAGAGAGTACTACTGCACAATTTTAATGGCCAATTATATAGAAAAAAACTAAGAAAAAAATTCTAGTAAAATCATGATCATTTCTCAAGAATACAAAAGATGCAAAATTTTTAAATTTACCATGTTATCAAACTAGTTTCCAGCATGATTAATTTTATTACCAAAAAATTGCTGTAAACCTTAAAAAAACATGGTTTTCTTGATTCTTGCAATTGAGTTGCTTTGGGTAGGCCATAATTACATATTTCTTTGATAACGTCTAAAAATTGAAGGAACTGTTATCGAGGTGTTACAAAAATAATTGTTTTCTAATAATAATGAATCACGCTGGAAAGTAATTTTGATCATTCATGGAATTTTAAAATTTTCTGGTAGCCGTTATTAGCATTTTTACTTATTTTTTGCCACACAATCGCCATTAAAATTTTGCAATTGTGCTCTGAATCACCCTGTATAATACCGAAAGAATAATAAAAAACACGACCGTAGACAGCCATGGATTTTTGAAGATTTGTTTTTGATACAATTTTTAGCTTGGCATATTATCGTCAATTTGAACGTGTGACTTCAAGATGCAACAATCAAGGACAAACTTTCAAAAGTTCATAGCTGTCTTTGATTGTGTTTTTATTGTTCTCTCGGTACTTTCATTATGCTACATTCTAATAAATACGCAGAGAGAATCACCATGTGAGATATTTCATATTTCTAGTACCGTCGATTTCAAATTATTATTATTATATTCCTGTCTTCGAAGAACATAAAAAAATAATATTATAAAATAGAATAGTCTTTCCAATTAAGAATTCTAACAATAGGCCCAAACACTGAGGCCTAAGACGGTTTAGGAAGCATTAAGATTAAGTTTTTCAAAAAATGCTCGAACAGGTCCATTTTATTTTCAAGGGAGACGTTGACTATGTTATTTTTAGACATTGTAACTTCAATCCTGTGGGAGGTGTAAATTTTACCCTCAAAATGTTGAATCAAAAAGAAGACAGATTTCAGCCTCGTTGATATTTTTATGAAATCGATTTGCAAAAATGCTTTATTTTTTAAATCGCTTTTCTAGTGTCCAAATAATTTGAAAAGACTTCTGTTATTGCATGGTGTCTAGCGGGGTCATTAGGATATTCTTTAGGGAACATTTTTAGTGTTAAGTGGATTTCAAAAATTAGAACCCTATTGGAAAACAAATTCAGTTTTCAAATGCTATCTTTTTTCATTTAAAATTTTACACAGTTACAGTTATATGTCCCTCTTGAAAACAAAATTGACCTATCAGAGAATTTTTTGAAATACTTACATATATTATCGCAAAACGGTATGTTACTTTGGCAGGGGACCACCTATATAATATAATAATAAATAATCCTGTTATTTAAATGGGGTTAAAATAAATATTTCCATGATTACAGTTGTTTTCAACTTTGTTTCAGATTTATACTGTTCCAGTGACGCTGGTAAGATAACATTATCAATATTCCTAGCTGTCATAAGTTTTTGTTGAAACAACTGTGAAATTGCCCCTATCAACTTACAGGATAGCATGCTTGGTCTGTTGTTCCTAATTTTTATTAATAAGTTAGTACACAAAAACAATAGTAACAATTTAGGTACTATAAACTATGTTAATGACAAGGTTTGCTAATCCATGGTAAAAAAATTAACTTTGTTGATCTATTAATTCAAAATTGGTTCCAAAACAATGATTTGACAATTTTATTAATGAAAGCTGCATGCATTTTTATAAAATTAACACCAATAAAAATTCGCTAATAATAATAATAATAATGAATTAAATGTCTCCTAACTTTAGCTAAATATATATTAACATTTCAGGCATCGAAAGTGACGAAAGTTTTACGAAGCAATCATGTTGAACGGATAACAAAAAGCGTAATACGCTGTATACGTAAAGAATTAAAAAAGCTGTTAACAAGGATATCTTAATTTGTACCTTTTATAACCATTTAGTTTTTCTCTATGAACCAAGTAATAACACGTTGAAAAGAATTACGAATACTTTTTCAAGCAATTTTCAAGCGAACTTTGAAAATGTCCAATCAATTTTTAAAGCTCTTAAAGCTCATCCATGTAATAAAAACAACTCCCTTGGAAAACAATCATTATTAACAGTTACGAAGGTTTTATAATTTCTTACCTTCTCGCGTCGCAGAACAATATTTGTTTATCACTTCAATAAATTAACGAAAAACTGACGACAGCGGAACTATATTTAGTTCCACAATTCTAACTAATAGTGTTCACGTTACATAATTCCAACGTGTTTTCTTCATAGGCGTGTTTTACGTTCTAAACGTACTTTCTTTTTCTTTGGCTGAATGTCGTAACTGTCAAAGTGTCAACTACGTTCATCTAGTAGTACTCCACATAAGTACCTACCCCCTTTTTTGTACTCTTCTGCTTCAAACTGACAAATCTCAAACACTAACCTTATTTCTGTTTACAGATATGTCTGTGTATCATGATTATTACTGTTATTATTGGCATCATATCACTCCTAAACTTTTGGCATGTTCACAATTTTCATAACAAAAATATGTACTAAAAATACAGGATGATCAAGTTATTATTCTATGAAAATATTTTTAGCATGTGAAACTTCTATTGCTGAAAGCACCTGTACAATTTCTGTACATTCAAATGTTTATTTAAGGTGCCAATACTGTTGACTTAACCTGTATAATGTCGTTTATATTTTGCAAATATACAGTTTAATTAACTGCAAGGTAGGCTTTCTCATTCTCTGTGTTCTTATCTTGAAAAAAATAAACAAATAATGTTGACAGTAAAAATGTAAAATACTGTGAAAACTGATAACTCGAGAACAAAAAAATTAGGTATTTTAATCAAGTCAGATCGATATTGTGACGGCAATAACCGACACATTGCCCTGAAAACAATGTAAAATTTGTGAACTTTTCCTATATTGTAATAATTATTAGGGTAAATGTGTACAAGAGTACGCACTTAGTGTAAAACTGTCAATAACTTTTTAATTTTTTTGGATAGACAAATTTTATGATATGGGTTCGTTATATACATGTTTAGGGATCAGATATATTTAATTGTACGCCCCAACACCACTATATTTTAAGAGTAATTTCAATTTTTGTCAAGATGTGTAAATGCGCACTGTTAGACAGTTCATTGCACAAGAGTGCGCATTTGAACGCTTATGAGTACGCATTACATTTTATGAAAAAATATTTGTTTCTAAGGTGAAAATAAATGGGAATAAGTGACTACAGACTACACATAAAACGGGAGACCTATTTCTTCGTACTCTAGGGGTCTTGAAAAGACGAGAAAACGTAAAAATAGAGAGTCGGTCGACGGACTCGATTACAACACGCTCAGGAAGTAAAAATAAAAAAAAAATCACCATAACCACCACCCCACAACTCGAGAAGCAGTACAAAGTAGTAGAGTTAAATAATTCATTACCGTATGATATGTATCTCCAAGACTATTAGACTACGTATTGCAAGCAATGCGCACGCTTATACAATACCTCGCTACGCACTCTTGTACATTTGTACACAACCTAATGTTTTCAAAGTTAAAAGCTTTTGATGGACAGAAAGTGTAAAACTGTTAGTGTATAACGACACCTTAAAAGTTACAACTAATGAAAATTATTACTGTAAAATAAAAGAACTGGTACGTACCTTACAAAAAACTAAAACTATGAGCGGTAAAAATTACATCCACACAACGTGTGAACATAAAATCGTCAGTACGACCAAACTATAAACTATATTCAGGTCACTTTTGCACCTTTATCTCAGGTTTAACATTAAATTCTGAATGGTATAACTTCATCTTACCCAGATGGCACTAATAAGCAGAAATCATCAGTGCGTACTCTTATACATATGCGCACTCTTGTACACATTTACCCTACCCGAAAAACATACTTGACTCTAAATTATTAATTTATAGTAACAAGGGTACCCGTAAACAATACACGCTATTATAGAATTTTTTAATTTGAGCCAAGTTCATAACTAACTTTTGAAATGATAAGTACACTTCCGCATTCATTTTTAATGTCTGGTTCACATTTTGTTTTTCGTTTGAAAAAAAAACTTGAACTAATAAAAATATTTTATAGTGAATATTGAACCAGTTTAAGCAATACTACAAATAAATTTTATCGAATCTGGGTTAGCACTACACGAGAGTCAATTAAACCTTGTTTGTTGTATCTTTTTACCAAAACAAATTTTCACCGATTATCACGACCATTATTATGTAATATTTAAAAGTAACATCATGATTTAGAGAAAACTAGATATAATTTGTTTAAAACCTGTTATTGTTGTCGTCTGCAGTAAGTAACAAGTTAAATATTTACAGTTTACTTTAAATCAAAATAAATAAATAAAACATTTCTTTTAATAAGCGAGTTTGTATATTTCCACTCATAAATTTTTCAAAATTTTCTCTCCGTTTTAAAATCAAGACGAAGTGAAATAATTTTAAAGCGAATCGAACACTTCACAGTTGAAAAGATCTCCTCTGCACTATTTTTAACAAAATTTTAAATAGCAGGAGGCTCTAATTTCTGGTGTTAGGCACAAACAAAACTTGATACCTTGTTAATAACAAAATCAATAATTTGTTTTCCTCTTAAATCATATGATTGTCTTACCAGCTGTCAACAAGTCAGTAAACAAGCATTTAATGCCAGCATTGTTGCAAGAAAAATAAGTAATTAATGTGCGACCGTGAACCATTGTTTAGTGGTTAAGTATAGTTCCACCGTTGCGTCACCTTGACAGTAATTATCAACGCGGTTAATTTAACGCCGTTGCTGTCGCGCGAGTGCCGCTTTAGTGCGATCCTAAACCGAATACTACGTATGGAATTTGGTGTCTTGATAGCGCCCCTTGACGCCTCCTGGGGGGCAATCCCATCACTTCTCGTTGCCGAATTAAACACGTGCTTTGACAACGCGCTTTTTGCAACAAGTGTTTTATGACGGCGATAAATTACCGATATTTAATAAATAGCCCCGCGAAGCTTTTCAAATAAACTGTAAAAAAGTTAAAACAAATCGAAGATCGAGATAAACCGGTAGCGAACCTGTTGGGTTTTATGAACAGCATAAAAAGTAAATTGCAGGGCAGCTAATATGTGAAGCGCTAAGGCGGATTTACGGGTCGTATTTTCCCGAGAATGAGACAAAGTAAATTCGTTTAGTGCGGGTCCTTAAGAAAATGAAAATTAATAGGCACACTGTAAACAAGTCTGGGAGGAAATTAAAAAAAAGTTTTTAAAAGAACTTTCTCTCACTGCAAATGAAATTGTATTGAATGATTTTCGTTTTGGTGAAGTAATTGATGTATAGAACAAAATGCCTACTATTTACAGGGGGAGTTGCTCCTGATGGGTTATCCGTAGCAAACTGTAATACAGATCTACCAATAAGAGTTCGAAACATATGCCCAATTTGTCATTTATTTGATACAGGGTACACATTTTTCTGGTAGATACTGTAAATATACATAGAAAGAATTAAATTGACATTGAGACTGTTCAATAATTTTTTGTAAATTTCAAAGTTTTAAGCTGAGACGAAATTTTGCCACTTCGTTGTAATTGTGCATACGTTAATTCTGTGTCGACTCTATGCTGTCAACTAAGATCACCTGACCTAGAAATTAGTTCGAATTCTACTTCTCCTAGCTTTTAACTTCCAGGCCGTAATTTGGGGAAATACTGCAATAGGTCCATCTGGCAAGCGGCTAAATTCATGTTTTCTTGATGTTTCATGATTCCTAGAGTATGAAAAAATGGGTCTCCCTTTTCCGTTTGTGTGTTGTTGTGCCGATATGTATTATGATGATGATGCTGATGATCTCCGAAACTGCCGGACTGATTGTCACCAAATCTGTAAATGTATATGGTAAAACCTAACCAAAATTTGTCTCATCTTCCCCATCATCTCAAAATTTTGTGTAGTACCTAAATGTTATTTAAATTTCATAAAATAACATACTTCATTGCTTGTGGTTTATGAATTCGCTTTTATTTTTAGCCCTATCTCTCTAGTTTTTTAAATTTTATGTTAGCGTTGTGTTTTTGTGAAATTTTAATTTTATTAGATATTGAAAGTTTGTAAATTCAGAAGACCGTAAGTACCTACGTTTAAAATAAAATTATTTATATAGGGTGACTCGAACAAACCAATGAATTAAAAAATTTGTTTTATCGTTCAAATCAAGAAAGTTACACCCCATTTTCAGGAAAAACTGAGTAGGTATACTGTAATTTTTCGAAGAAGTGAATTTGTTGGAAGCTCTTAAACCATTTTCTTCTTCACATAATAAAAATTTTAGTGAACAGGAATTATAAATAAATACGGTTGACGTATTATCGCAGTAGAGTCTTTGAAGATAGAACATGGCCATATTATTTTTGCCTAATAAGA